AGTTCTGAATAGCCCGTCGCTCAAATAGTTGGAATCAACGTTCACCCAGCTAGAAATTTCGATTTTGACGAAAGTCGACTTTCCCCTTGGAAAACGGAAAATCTGACCCTTTGAAAATCTAAAAAAATTTTTTTTTTCTCTTTTTACTTTTTCCACATAGTTTTGAGAGTTCTGAATAGCCCGTCGCTTAAATAGTTGGAATCAACGTTCACCCGGCTAAAAAATTCGATTTTGGCGAAAGTCGACTTTCCCCCCTGGAAAACGGAAAATCTGACCCTTTGAAAATCTTAAAATTTTTTTTTTCTGTTTTTACTTTTTCCACATACTTTTGAGAGTTCTGAATAGCCCGTCGCTCAAATAGTTGGAATCAACGTTCACCCGGCTAAAAAAATCGATTTTGGCGAAAGTCGACTTTCCCCCTGGAAAAATCCAAGATCTGACCCTCTGGCTTCGGGTGAAAAAAAAATTTTTTTATTTTGACATGTGTCGCGCCTGCGGGGGTTTCATTGGCATCAGAATTGTTAGGAAATACAGAATCAACCTTCACTTGGCGAAAAAATTCAATTTTTGGCGAAAATTGACATTCACGCTGACTCTTGACCCACGTGGAAATGAAAATTTTTTTTTCGTCTTTTCTGTCACCTCCGAGGGTTTCATTGGCATTAGGGGGTCAATAAATACAGAATCAACGTTCACTATTTTTTATTCAAACACCGCCTGCAAACGGAGAGATGAGGGTGGCTGAAATATATTCTGCAACCCTCTTTCTTCGTTGGCTACAAATTTCAACCGTCCACATACATGCCTTCCCCTCCACCCCCGGGACTCCTCGTGAAGTCCCGAGGTCTCGGTAGTATAGAGGAGGACTTCTCAGGGCCGAAAAGAACTGAGGATTCGAAAGGTCTGCGGAAAAGTACGTCGCAGAACTGATTAGGACTTACCAGGTCAATCTAGATCTGAAGAGATCTTGAAAGACCTGTGTACGTCCAATCAGAACCAAATCCTCGACTCGGGATCCCCGTTATGGATTACGTGAATTGTTCCGTAATTTTTACTCAAGATTTCTCTCCGTGCTGAGAATAATTAAGGTTCCCTCATCTTCACTGAAATTATTTCTGTTCATTGATAGTTTTTCAGCAGAACTAATTTTTTTATATATTTGACTGCAAAAGTAGAAAAGCATTTCACCGGCGAAAAAATATCCAATATTCGGATATCCTTAATTCAAAAGGATAAATCGGAGGAAGGATAAAGGATATATCGTTTTGTTTTCTTTTCTGCACTTGACGACAGCAACATATTCTAAAATACGACACCGTTTAAATAATAAATTCGTTGATTAAATAAAATGGAGCGAAAAGAATAATTAATAAAAGATACACGAAGAAATGACACGTCCGCGGACTAAGAGCTAAGATAAAAGAATGAAGATCGACAAAGAGACGATCGTACATGAAGTTGGTTGATGGAGAAAAAGGGTAAATACTCAACAATATTAAATTAGTACATGATAAGATCAACGAAACCTCATAATATTATCGACACCGTCCGCTCCGTTACTTTGAACTCTTATCGTACGGCCTTATCAAACTCAATAACTCACCAAAAACCCCTTCATCTCAGTTCCAACGATATCACCTGAAGAGCACGTGTGTCACTCCATTTTCCCCCGTAACATTAACACCTCGCGACGGTTGCACAACAACTGCAGCTAGCCTTTGCTAACATATTCCAAAGTTTTTTCTCCTGCCTCTACTGTTTCATTAGCTAGAAACTGACCTCTACCGTCGCCGTCTATTACATCGAGCCTTCTCCGGCTTCTCCAGGTGCATCGGCCACTGTCACACTTCCGTTCGCGGTATCTACTTCTTTTATATGTTCAAATAATATCAAACACTTCTGTTTCAACTCATTATTCCTAATCGGAGCTGATAACACTGTGCATTCACTCTTAACAAGTTTTATCCATTATCAAGGAGTGGTAGAGTCGAATATGATCGAATAAATGGTTTTAATAGTTGACGAATGATTTAGCTAAGATATAAAAGTTTAGACAAATTCACAATTTTTTTCGTTAAAAAATGGATTTGGAGACACCCAAACGAAGCTGTTTATTAACTATGAACGAATTCTATCAATCTGTGAAAAAGAAAAATATCGATAATTGATGTAAGTCTCGACAATAGACGACTTCACCGATTCCGATTGCATTCGTAACTAACAAAGGAAGTTGAAACTGCACACGTCATGATCTCTAACTAGATACAGCGACAGAAATTTGTATCGTCTAAACATTGACCCTGGCGTTGATAAGCAGGCCTTTAGAAGCCAGCTGGAAGGGGAATATTCCACAGAAAAAGTTCTAAGAATAAAACTCGTATTTGAATGATTCACACATGTATTTTCGGTACAAAAAAACTTCACTAGAATACAAAGATGTTATTGATAGGAAGAGATACAACAGTTTGAATAACAAATACGCAAACAAAACTTGCATTATTGTCTTCAGTGATTATGTCCCAGCACCACAAGCGTTTTATTCTTTCTATGATAAGGGGAAACCAGAAATTTTAGTTACGGTTTCGATGTCCACTGTTCAACATTTTCGGCTGAATTTTCCGTGCCAAATTTCGGAAATTTTCATTGTGTTCCGCTGAAATTTCAGGAAATCCATTGATTTTATGTTCAAATGATCTAAAAATCAATAAAATACTTGATTTTTCAGTTCAATTATTCCAGGAAAATTCAGAAAAATCGGGAAAATTCAGGGAAAAATTGAAAATTCATGTCATTTTGTTTCTGAATATTTATGTTTCACTGAAGATTCAATCAAGTTGTGAAATTTCCATCTCACTCCCACTTAAAACTCATGAAATTCCTTGAATTCTACCTGAAACTAGAAATTTCCTAACCGTTTTTCCCCTAAATCCAATTAAATGTCCCTCTTATGAGAATTACTATCATATTATCCATGAAATTTCAAAAAAATTTTAAGTACTTAGAAACCATATATTACAGCTTATTGGTGCAGGATTTTTTTATGACCTAATTTTTATGGTTTTCATTTTCCTATTCTTCATTTCATTTTATACAATTGAATACATGTATTTTCGACACGAAAAAATTTCACTAAGATATGAATGATACACGGAGAAAATAAAATAGGAAAGATTACTATGTCGGAATTCGCATATAGTAAACGTGATCGAAGTTTTGTAAGTATTACTATGGACTACTATGGCAATGGCTACTATGCAACATCGTAATGGTGACTATGGGGCATAGTACGCTCCTCACTGGTAATAGGTACTATGAACATAGCAATAATCACATAGTAATTATATAGTAATTATTACTATACTCATAGTACCTACTATATAATTACTATGTAATTATTGCTATAAAAGTATAGTAATCTCTACTATGTTAGATAGTAAGTGTTACTATATTAACATAGTAAAACCTACTACTACTACTATGTAACATAGTACTGTAGTACAGGCGTAGTGTAGTACAGCCGCCATATAGTACTATATAACATAGTAGAGCTCCTCATGTAACGTAAAATGTTCTATAACGCATAATGAAATTATTCTAAATAATTAAATACCCTCAAAGAATGAAACATGAGTAGATCAATGTTAGACACAGAAATATCATTAATTATTACCATTATCTCCTAATAAATCCCATTACAACCTAAATTCAACTTGCAGTTGCATTTTTACTCATATCAAACGAATAATTTAATGAATGTAATTAATGCTTTCTTCATAGAAGTAAAGACTTTATTAGTTAGTAATGGAATCATTGTTTAGATGGCGAAGGCAAAGAATTTATTGATGTGTAATAATTTTCTATTTGAATCAAATAATTTATTTATTTATTTCTAATTGATTATCTACTTGTGATGAATGCACTATTTATTCCATTCAATTGAAGATTTGTTATTTAAATAAATATATAAATTTCCACCAAAAACATTCTAGAATTTGATATGAAAATTTCAAATAAAAGTTTAATTTGTTTAATTTTTTTAGAGAGTTTAAGCCTCAAGCTTCTTGAATTTACAAACGCATCAAGAGGCAATCACGAATTTCAACTGATTATTTTAGAGATACTTCCTATGTTCGTAGGACCATTTTCCATTCGCATGGTAACCATTTCTATGTACTTCGTAGGCATTCCTATGTAACTATTACCATGGGACATAGTAAGGATTAGTATGTAGGGATATTTGGAAACCCTTTCCCTACGATACCATAGTAATCTCTCCTGTTGCCATGATGTTTACTATTTAATTCTCTCCGTGTATGTTACAAATAGAAATTAATACTTTTGGAAATGGGGTATTTGAATAATTAAATTTGGCAAATAAGTGAAAAACTTTCTTTTATTTTATACGCTCGAAAGACACATCCGCTCTGGGGGCCTATTCTCGAAATATTTCCGTGCGCGGAATCGACTCCGTTGACGGAACGCCTATATGATTCCTATACGCAATTCGTCTACGAAGCCACTTCCGCGCACGAAAATATTTCGAGAATAGGCCCCCTGTACCAATTCCTTAGAGGAACTAACTAAATGACAAAGGGATACAACACCCTGGACCCCTGGTGACTCACACTCGATAGGTCTCACTCATCCAACTTTGTTTAGACTAAGAAAAAGAGCATAAACATCATGCCTCAAACTTCTCAGAATTTTCATCCACAAAAATGTTCTTCATATCGAAAGTGAAAACAGAGAAAGAGACATACATATAAGATTAATTTTTGCTACGTATTATTTTCACTCAAAAAATCCAACAGATACAGTAGTCCTAATAACAAATACGTTAAAAACATTATTTTCAAATGCATTATTGTCTGCAGTGATTATGGCCCAGCATCAAGCCTTTCATTCATATTCTATAATGAACTAAATGCAAAAATTTCAATCTTGAGTTCTCCGTTGATTATACTCATTGGTCCTGGATTTCTTTATGAGGGAATTCAAAGCTCCCAGATCCGACAGGTAATAGTCCGCTATCATTGGGGTATTCTGCGCCTCGCAGGATTCTATTTTGTCGAGGCCTGAGCCAACCCACAATTTCTTGAATCCACAGGATTGGGCGAACTTCATGTCAGCAGATAATCTGTGATAATTTGAGTTTAGGGTCAAAACGGTTAAAAGTCCTTATTTGATTGTAAGTCTATTTGATGTTATAAGAAAGAGTGACGGAGGGGACCTTTGTTTTTGGTTTTTACTCAGGCTTGCCATGAGTAGAAAAGTGAATCATTCAAAGAAGAAACGTTTCAAGTCATTACCTAGGGGACGGTGGAGCAAAATGAAACACGAGGCAAAATGAAACAGCAAGAAAATCTTGTGATCTAAGGGAGATAGGAGGATTTTCATAAAAACCTTTATTGGAGAGAATTTTACAAGCTACAAAAAAGGTCCTTTTTAAAAATGTCCTATCTCCTTTAGATGAGATTTTCCCACTGTTTCATTTTGCCCCGTGTTTCATTTTGCCCCATGCTCCCCTACTTGATTCCAGTTAAAAAAATCAATTTAAAAAAAAAATTGATCCAAGTCGAATGAAATCAAGTATGGAATCTACTCGAATCAAATCGGATCTAATTTTCATCAAATCGAAGAATCTACTTCTAATCATGTATTCCATACTTTACCACTGAATTACATATTAGTAGAGTAAGGTGTACACACAACCGTTCAATCCATATATTTTAGTACAGTACTAGAATAATTTCGAATTTCATAAACATTTACTTACGAGTCTCCAATGAAAATACATCTCTTCGGATCATTTATCTCCAACTTTTCGATTAAATAATGCTGTAGCTGTTCACTCGGCTTTGCACATTCGATGGGTTTGTTGCCAGTTCGCTCTACTAAAATATCAGAGAATTGACCTATACCTGGAAAAATGAATAAAACAGTGGATGATTTTTCAATGGGAAAGGTGAAGATTGATTGAGGATTTAATCCGGAGTACGGTTTCTCTCAATTTCGGATTGCGACGGATTTTTGTAGCTTTTGAGAAATTGTCAAATGTTTGAGGATTTCATGTATACTCAAAGTTCAATGGAATCTCAACCGACACCTTCCAGGAAATGATGTTTAAGAGGAGATGCAACTTACCATCGGAGTAGAAATTGATTTTCAAGTTTTTTCGTTGTCAGAGGACTGTTCAGCAAAACCCAAATTCTTAGATTATATGTAGATACCAAGATTATTGATAATGTAAGAATTTGGGTTTTGATAAATAGTCGTATGACAATGAAAAAACTTGGAACTCAATTTCTACTCCGATGGGTCCATTGCCTCTTAATGTCAGGAGTGAAACAGAAAATTTGAAATTAAAAAAATTAGTTTCATCTCATTTGGTACATCAGTATGATAGTCTATTTGGCTAGTATTCGCGAATCATATTCTATCCGACCAGGATTTGAACCCTGCACATTTTACGCGTGATGCGACGAGCTTACTCACTATGCGCCATCTCGTCGTGCTGCCCTACCAGATTTGTTCACAGCTGAAGGTGAGTACAGAAACGAAAAGTTTCAATTTTCAGGGAACTACACGGAGAGAAATGTTCAGTAAAAATGACGGAACTCACAATCCACTCACCGTTTACGGAATCGACTCAGAAAATTTAAGTGACGATATCGTAATTTTTCACAGGAGATTCAGATAAGAATGATGGAACGCTCTAGAAAAAGTCCGTGACAGTTCCGTAAAATTTCCTACAACTACATTTCGCTCCGGAATTACGGAAAAGATGAATAATTTTTATTGAAAATTCTCTCCGTGTATCTCCAATTTTGAGGAGCTCTTAAAGAAGGAATCCCAAAATAATTCCATGAAATAAGAAGTACTACTGGTACTTTCAGTCAAATTATTGGAAATTACTGAAGTGCCCTTTTTTATACTTGGCAAAAATTATAATTTCTTTACACGGAGAGAAATGTTCAGTAAAAATTACGGAACTCACAATTCACTCACCGATTACGGAATCGAGTCAGAAAATTTAAGTGACGGTATCGTAATTTTTCACAGGAGATTCAGATAAACATTACGGAACGCTCTGGAAAAATTCCGCGACAGCTCCGTAAAATTTCCTACAACCGCATTTCACTCCGGAATTACAGAAAAGATACGTAATTTTTATTGAATATTTCTCTCCGTGTAGGCACGAAAAAATTCTATCAATTAGGCCTTTCGATATTAATTACAGACATAATTGTATTTATTACTAAAATACAATGTTATCCCGAGATCAAATACCAAAATACTAAATAAATGTGAGAGTCACTGAAGGTCGGCCACACGGAGAAAAAAATTCCAGAAAAATTACTGTGGTAGCACGGTAAAATAGGTTCATTTGGACGGTCCCGGACAAATTCCCATGCCAGAATTTTTCTCGGATTTACAGTGAAAAGTTCTTGTACTCCACAGTAAATTTTCCGGTACTCCACAGCAATTTTTCCAGATCCGTCCAAACGAACCCATTTTACCGTGCTGACACAGTAATTTTTCTGGAATTTTGTTCTCCGTGCATATTTTGTTAACAAATTTTATTTGTCTCACCTAAAAGCCGCAAGTCTTTGCCAAACACCAGATCTCTATCCAATGCCCCCGTCAGATAAATGACATTCTCTTGTGCTAAGTATAACGAAGCCAGGTACATCTTTGTCCAGCTAAGATTCGCATCGAAATCGAAGATAACTGCTCTAACGGCTGGGTCAAGTTTTACTAGAGCTGGTATTAAAGCGTAATCTTCTGCAAGTGTCGTCGGCTGGAATAATTAAGTTATGATCAATCATTAGAGCACTGAATGAGTATAATTATAATACCATGACTTTTATAAAATAACGTAATTCATAAATTCTTTCATTGGTTTTCGAAAAAATGGATTGCATTTCTCTCTCATTCTTCGATGATTAATTATTTTATTTTCAATTGATTAATTCGTTGCCGTAGAGCCGAACGAGCGTAAAAGCTACGCTTATACACACCACTTACGGCCCTAAATATGGCGACGAATTAATCAATCAATTATCGATTAGAAATTCATCACGCTCTGCGTGCACAAAATCGTGTTTTCCACATCTTGCGATGGAAAATAACGTTCGACACTAATGAGAAAAGCGAAACTTTACACACAAGAATTCACTTTACGCGCGACCTCGGAATTTTATGCATTTCGTACGGAACACAAACACTTTACGACCGCTAAACCACCCCGAAAAAAATAATATACGCGTCTCGCAACAAAAAGGCATCGCTTCAGGCCGTGTCCTGCGGCTCGCGCCGCAAACAAAAGATGCCTTTTCGTTGCTCGACACGTAATGTACTATTTCATCACTTGTGCGTAAAGGGGAATTTTATATAAAATGTAAAAAACTATTCATTTCATCTTTTATTAGCGTTTAGTCAATTATTTATTTCATTTTTTATTTGCGTTAATCTATACTGATATTCGTATTCGAGAAAATTGTTTACTGGTCTACTATCTCCATATCACTTATCAATTGATTCGATGTGTCTAGTTTATTATCTAGATTTAATTTGAGAAGTAAAAGTTGAGGGTCCACTATCTCCCCTATATCCACGGTCAAAGTTACCGTGGGTCGTGTGAGTAGACACTGCCTACACTTTTATTGTGGTGAAATGAGTTAAAATTTGATAAGTTAGTTGATCGAATGAAAATTTAAATGAATTGAAAAATGGGTCCACATGACAATAATTAATTATTAATTATAACTAATTAATTTTTATTTTTATTGATCATTATAATATCATAATTGTTATGATAATTGTTATTATATTTTCATTTTTCATCAATAAAATAAAAAGGAAAATTCAGTATTTTTATTTTATCAATGTCGATTCTGAGAAATGACGCCCGGAGTAAGCGCGTGGTGGTGGAAGGCGAATACCCCGAATTCACTTCCCCAACAACCCCTTGAGTGTGACTCTAACGGGAGTCTACTGTATTTTAGTTTTCTAGCCTCCTGCCCGTTGGGAGAGGTCTTGACAAGGCTGTTTTTATCCAGCCCAGCGGAGTGGATTCGTTTATCCCAATTTTCAATGTCATAATTAAGAAAAAAAATGCAATCATTTTGAGGATATTTCTTATCAATTCAAGTTCTAATCATCTCAATTACTCATACCGAAGTGATAACGTCAATTCCGCCGTCTTGAAGGACTTTTATGAAGGGCATAGTTCCCATGACGAGTGCTTTCCCTTGAAATTTAATCTTCCTCAAATACCACAGAATGACTGATGACGGGATGACTATTTGTTCCTATAAAAATTCAAAAAATCATAAAATTCATTGACCGAGGAAATAGTAGAAATCTGTATTACAATCAATCTCAAACATACTAAATCCACTATTAATTCTCTGAAAAATACCAATCGATGTTAAACATGGGGTGTGCACTCACAGGTGTTGCCTCGAAACCCATTTTCCTCAATTTCACAATGTAATCCTCAACCAACAGAAAGCTATTGTTGGAAACAAAAAGTACTCGTTTACCGAGACTCTGCAGTGTCTTCAGGGACTCCAATGCACCTGGTATTGGAGTGTTCAGGAACCATAAAACACCTCAACAAATAATAAAACAAACATCCGTCAATATTTGATAACCATTGCTTATGTTCAAACTCAACCTTTGTGCGATAAGAATAATGAAAAAATCGCACACGTCACTAAATAAGTAAAAAATTGCATCTGCATTCCTCTGCGAAATTAGGAATATAATAGGGTAAAATTGTAATAATAAAAGTAGCAATAGTAAATGAAGTCGGAGCCCTCGAACGATAGTTGAATATCCTTAGAACACTGAGAGAGAAACAAACACATTGTCAAACAAGTTTTGGTTTGGGCCAAGAAAATCGCTAGTTGAAAATTGCCAAAACGAATTTTTTTGGTTCGAATTTGAAAGTCTCATACATGAATAATTGTTCTGCTTTCGACAACAACGAAATATTTGACTCAAGAGGTGAATAATTCACACCAGACGGTGCCTGTTCAGGATGAAAATATCTCTTATAGAGGAAAATTTATCAACCAATTTTTTATCCATAAGTTATAAGATTGCTATCATATTATTATTGCTTCATTTAAGGGTTCATTTCTTGTCTGTGATTATTAGACAGCCGAAACGAAAAACTACTATCCCTTGTTTCGCATAAAACGAAGATTTTTCGGCAGCAAAATACGTATGGGAATATCGAATAACGAAGGAGTAGTGCTGGAAATGACATTTCTTGCATGTGCAGAGAATGCAATTTTTTTTGAAGTGCTAATAGTATTTTTCCGGCCCGTTGCGATGGGGTTTTTTACTCGTGTGGCGTTGGCCTTCGAACCGTAGGCGAGGACTGGCCAACCCACGAGTAAAAAAATCCCATCGCAACAGCCCAGGAACAATATTTTTCTGTAGTGATTTTCAAGTTTTCGAGTTTGGGAAGTATGTAATACCAATTCCCAGACGAGAAATCGTGAGAAGCAGTACAGAAAATCTATTTTTGCGACGAAATTTGTCATTTCGGCGCACTCTCTCCATATTTGGCACAAAAAAATCCTTTTTTGATCATTTTCAAAAAAATATTTTCTTGGCACAAGTAAGACTGGTTTGCGAACTTTGTCGTTTTTCTCTCAGTGTAGAGATCGCTGAGGAATCGTGACTGCACTGATAGAACGGATTAGGCATTGTGAACGAATGGATTTGGTTGGAGACGAGGGTCTATTCGGTCTCACCTAATGTTCATTCGTTAATAGTTAACAAATTCGCATTTGGGGAGCCTTGTTTGACTCGGTTTTCACTTTTCAAGTGAACCATTCGTTGACTATTAACGAATATTTATTTGGTCATATTCAAGTCTACCATTCGTTAATAGATAACGAATCTCGTTTGGAATAAATAAATCATTCAATCAGTGTGAGCAGTCTCTATTAAGAATATCCAACTTTGGCTATTCTTTCTCCAGTGAAATGCTTTTCTACTTTTGTAGTCGGGCATCAGAACTTCATTTGAGCCCCATTCAAGTTTGCAGGTCTGAATTTGGATTTCGATATTGAACCGTTAAAAAGCACTTTAAAAATCTGCAAAAAAATTACAAAAGATTACTTTTGGAAGAACATTGTTGAAATAATTAAAAAATTGCAATTTTTGAAAATTCCGAGCATTTTCTATAAATAATTTACGAACAATCAATTTTTTACCATAAAAATCATTTATTCGGAATCGTAACAAATTTATTCTCATTCAGAATTTTACCGGAAATCCATTTTATGTCTAAGAAATAAGGTTTTGGAAAGTTTAAACAATTTCAATTATTTATTTGTAAGCAACGAATGTTTAAAAAAATAATAATTCCCCGTAAAATGTAATTTGAATGACGCTGAATATTGATGATGTATTTCAAATTTTTCTCACACAATTTAATTGATGAATTTCATGATTGACAATTGCACCGAGAAAAATTTCAATGCTAATTTTAACTACAAGAGAATTGTCAGCTATAATACCCCAAGACCTTCAAAATTATCGGATATTTCCCGAATGTTTTGTTGCATAGCAACGAGAGGGATCTCGATCATTGATATGCAGGAAAACTTGAGGGAAATATCCGATGAATTTTGAAGGTCGAGGGGTATTCGGAGGACAATTCCTTCAATTCTGATTTTGGCCGATCCGGGTACAGTGTTCCGGGTTACGGCACACATTTCACCAAAATGTGAGGAATATCTGTTGAAAAATTCGTAGAAAACAATTGACCGGCTACAGGGAAAGTATCAGTCTGATAATTTCCCTGCAGCCGGGGAAATTATCAGTGTGAAACGCGTCACGTGACTGCGAATACTGCACTCTGATTGGTCAAAATCAGAATTCAGGAAATTGTCAAAGAAATTATATTTACGGTAACAATAAACTTTGTAGATTAAACTAGGATTCATCGTTCGATTTACTATGTCAAATAGTGTTATAAACATTATAGTGTAATTTTCACTTTAATGTAATAGTTGAATCTACAATGTTTATTGTTACCGTAACTATTATTTTTTTGACAATTCCCTTGTAATTGAAATTACCATTGAAATTTCTCTCAGTGTGGATATCCTTAAGAGCAAAAAAAATAATGATGAATTAAATATAAATTGATGACGAAATTCTTACCATCGCAATCAGTCATAACCGTATCGAACGAGTTTAAAAGAACTGTCATCTCTTCAGCGGAAAAATTCTGAATATCTTTAGGTCTGTTCATGATGATTATTTCAAATATTTCAAAATGAATTTTTCAATTTAAGTGTCCACTCTTCACAATTGTTTCACCGTTTAATGCAGCAATGCTCATTGGATGAACATGCGAAATTTTTGAAATTGTTGCAAACGAAACGTCAGAAGGATGTGCAATCGCCGGAGACACTGCGGCGAATGGGATTCGGGCTGACAAGTCGGGAGTGTGTACCTGTAACTACTGCGACAGTACTCTGTACGGTCAGACTGACGAGATGGTGCTTTTGGTTTTCAGAAATGGGAGACAAGGATATGAGTGGGCATTGGGCAAAGTGGGGGTAACTCTGGCGGGCTCACTCTCCTCAGTTCTATTGTATATGTCAGTATCCACCAATGAGAGTCAATAAGAATTGCGTAACGCCGGATCTCGACGGAGATAACGTTATTGTTGATTCACGATGCCGAGTTACTGTAGTGGTGCTTCAACGCTCGATTTTTCTCGAATGAGTTTGGTGAGAATAATTGATGAATGAGAGAAAGAATCCAAGATCTATCGTTCACAGTTCGATAGGTATACATGGGTTTGAGGGGAAATGCAGCTGAGATGCTCCGGCGCAGGAGCGAATGACGTTCATGCGTACACCCGGAAAAATGTTTTTTATTATCAGATAAAAATTCTTATTTGAATTTTTTTACTTATTTCAATAATATTTTTGTTACAAATGGATAAACTTGTTTACTTGATCAAAGAAAAAAGATTTACTTATATTGGACAAATAATTTATTTATTCCAAATAAAAATTTTATTAAATTTGAAAAAACAATTCATTTATTTCAAATAAATGATTTTTTTAAATGAAATAAAGAGTTGTTCATTTTCAGAAAATCACATTTTCATGTATTTTGTGGAGGAATTTTGAAAGTGTGTTTCAAAAATATCCGTCGGCTATGTGGAAAAAGGTCGTATGAACCTAATCCAGCAAAAGTGAAATCTAAACAATTTTAACTCTCTACACTGAGAGAAAAATGACAAAATTCTCAATCTTACTTGTGTCAAGAAAATAGTTTTTTGAAAATGATCAAAAACGGATTTTTTTGTGTCAAACATGCAGAGAGTGTGCCGGAATGAAAAATTTTTGTCGCAAAAATAGATTTAGTAGTTCAAAAAAAAATTGCATTCTCTGTACACGCAAGAAATATCATTTCGAGTGCTACTCCTTCGTTATTCGATACTCCCATACGTATTTTGCTGCCAAAAAATCTTTGTTTTATGCGAAACAAGGGATAGGAGATTTTCGTTTCGGCTGCCTAATAATCACAGACAAGAAATGAAGCGTTAACTGAAACAATAATAATGATATGATAGCAATCTTGTAACTTAGAGATAAAATATTTGTTGATAAATTTTCCTCTATATGAGATATTTTCCTCTATATGAGATATTTTTGATTACACTTTCCACTCCAATATTAACGACTTTGTTTCACCATCGTCTTCCTAATAGTGAATCCACACTGCGAAAAGAATCGACATAATAAAACAAAAATAATTTCTTGAGTGGAGAACATCGCATGCATATTAGATCAATTCATCGTAGGTTTCAGATAAAAAATCGGTGCTCTTTTTTCTAGAAATTAGATGATATTCGTGAAGAGACGAAGGAAGTTTGAGAGAAGAAAAAGATGTTATTGCCTTCCTTCAAACTCATTGCGATTAAGAGCAAGTGACAGTTATATTTTAAATATCTGAAGGTTCTCCCTTGTATAAATTCTGTATTCATTCAATATGAAAGTCCCTGATCCATGATTCACTGAATCAAAGCTTTCCTAAGAGTTTTCTCATCTTTTGCCACAAAATGAACGATTTCTTGAGATAAGAAATTCTCACATTATTGCCAAGTGTTCGTGTTCAAGTCATGAACATTTCACAGGATTCTTAGACGGTCTGACTCAGTATGCGGAATTCTTATCCTGAGGTTTTATCCCCAAAAATGAGAAATTTGACGCAAGAAATTAGCTTTGTGATATTATGTTACATGATAACATAAATTAAAATGCTGCGTATATCCTCGGGGTATTCAATCCGAAAAATAATTGCGTGAAGAACCTACAGATGTCGCCAGCTTTTCAAAAAAATTCCTCTATTCCATCCACTTCTGTATGAAATAATATGAATAACTGAAGTTTCTTTTCACTTGTAAAATCAGGGATCAGTCGATGGCTATTAAAAAAGGATTAATACATTGCGGTTAATAGAATTTCAATTTATTAAGTATCCCTAGCCGTCAGTGTCTTGATTCTCATTTACAAAGGTAATATATAGCTTTTTAGCAATAATAATAATTAATCAATGATAATTGTTAATTAGTTACTACTAATTAATCAATAATGATAAATTCATAATAATATTCCTTGTAAATCGACAATGATTAATTCGCGATCGCACATTCTCTTTCGGTCTCTGTTTTTATTTCATTTTTTTTTCTCATATATATATGTTTTGTCTTCGTAAAATGCGTCTTCATTAAATTTTCATCAACGTTATAAAACAACGTATTCCCATAAATGCTCAAAGCTCACCAGCTGGATGCTGTTAAAATTTATGACAGACTCCGTTTATTTAGTTTTTTTTTTCGCTTACAATGATTGAAGCGCGAGCTCTCGATAATCAATTTTTTTATTCTCTCATTCTTATTTCTTAGGGTGAATTTCTCAATCCACTTCTTTCAGTTTCTTTTTCTGACTAGAAATATATCGCCCCCCTCTTAGATCAATCGTTTTCTTTTCTTTTTTACAATTATTACTGATAATTCGTAAGCTATTTATGGTAAATAATTTTTTTTTCACGTACATATAGAAACATTCGATCTTACGTGAAGCATGGAGACGTGGCAAGTTTTTTTTCAGAAAAAAAAATTTCCGTTGGGCAAGGACAAATTTTCAAGAGTATAATTTTTTGCATTTTTCCTCAGGAGTCGGATTTTCCCGGTCAAAATAGCCTCCGACCTCTCAAAAATTGAGATCTGAAATTTTGTAACAGAAAATTAAACTTCAAAACAATTTATATTGTATTAATTTTTTAAATAGTTTTTGAATTTCACCATTTTCACGTTTCAATTATGAAAAATGGGGGAGGTCCATTTTTAAATTCATTTTTCGACAACCACTGTGTGAAAAAATTAACTCTGTTGAAAAACTTCATGTAGCACTTGAAAATATTCGATGCGGTGGAACAGATTTACTCGAAAGAAATTAACCAACTTGACGAAAGAAAATTTAGTATCTTAAATTTAAGTTCATTTTCTAACCAAAAGAATTCGTTATTTTCAATGAGTTGATTTTATTGTTAAAAATCTCTAATGAATATCGATTAAAATCAGGGAATTCGCAGGAAAAGAAGGGAAAGTAAACGAAAATAGTAAAGAAAAAAATTATAAGAACTCTTTCTAAACGTGAGGATTATGAAGCATAAAGTTATCATTTATAAATACAGTTTAGAAATCATATTTGAACGAAAAAAAAATTTTTTGATAAACCTACAAAAATTTTACTAGACGAATAAATTTTAAATCCTTCTTTTCTTTCCGTTTTTCATAATTAAGGAGCGAATGTGGATGCTCATATTCAAAAAGTCATTTCAAAAATTCTCTCATGGATTTTTTTCGCAAAAAGTTTTTGGCTGAATCGCTTCCACAAATTGAGGCGAAGTGATTTGATAAAAAAAAACCATTCTCTAAAAAAATACGCTTATCCTAGTTTATCAATTCACTGCAGAATTTATATGTTGGGGATTTTTTCAAGTTTAATTTGCGGTCACAAACAATTTAAATCTTTGATTTTGGATCACCGAAGACTATTTTTACCTACAGAATTAAATTCCTGAGGAAAAATCATGCGACAAATAGTACTTTTAATAATCGTTCCTCGAAAAACAATGAAATTTTTTTCCTGGGGTGAAGCTCCCCTTCAATTAAGAACAATAATCTTTAACTCTCAATATTTCCTGGTTGAGAACATGGAGACATGAAAAGGTATTAAATAGCTAAAAATGAAACGTTGCATGGGGGGGGGGAGGAATTAAAAATACAGAGAATTTTTCTGTGTCACGATTTGCAAAATTCCATGTCACAATATTCTTAAACCGAGGAAATTGTTCTTAATTTGAGAAAAAAATATCTGTTGATTTCTTCATACTCGCGTGAACAAATTCTTTTCATCGATATTGTGACAGTTTTTTAAATTTATAATTTTGTAACTCTCTCATTGATTTGCTTCATCCACTTCACTTCTACTTAATAGTTACTGGTATTCATCATTATAATAATTATCTTTGAAAATAACTAGAGTTTAAACGAGCTGCCGGGACACGGAGTTTTTTTTTTATTTAGTTTAATTCCTTTATTAGTGGATAGCGAGATAATTATGGAGTCAGAACGTATTGTTCATGGATTTAAATGCCTATTATACATGGGAGTATTCAAGATGAATATGGAAGGACAGATATTGGATCAAATTCGAGTGCAGACGGAAATGAGTTTCAATGTTCATAGAACATTTTTTCTGTTAATTGTCAATCTTACCAACGACGTTGAGATAATTTCTGACACATTTTTTTGCTTGATGAATTCTACACAGAAAGCAAAAATTCCGAGGGTACAAAACTAAATTTCAGGATCTTGATGAATTACATGGAGAAAAATTCGCTAGGAAAATTCAGGATAATCGAGTCACAAGTCGCACACTTGGAAAAATTATTGTGTAGCATCAGAAAAATTCTCGTGCAGCACACGATCAGCACGCAATTTTTCCGGTGCTGAACGATAATTTTTCTAGCGCACCATGACAATTTTTTTGGTCCTACACAAAAATTTTCATCACTTGCGCGTAAAGCGAAAAATCGGGTTTGATATGCGTGGGAAAAGTGTTCTTCAACTCGCCTTCGGCGAAAATTTTTTTTCAATGTGGATCAAGTTGATGTTTCCTTCACACTAATTAAAAATTTCAAGTTAAAATTCTTGCAATAATTAACGATCTCTATTTTATGTGCAATTGTGTTATGAAAATTCAATGATGATGTGGTAGCGGAAATTCTTGGATAGTCCGAGAATGTGCGTAGCATTCATTAAAAAACAGTTCATTAAAAAATCAATTGAATGTTTTCCAAGGCTCGGGCATGTAATGTACTATTTTTTCCCCTGTGATAAATTCATTTTTTTATTAAATCCGCAGTAATTTCATCATAATACAAAAATTCCCATTGAACAGAGC